CACACACACACAAACACACACACAAACACACACACACACACACACACACACACAAACACACACACACACACACACACAAACACACACACACACACACACGTGCGCGCGCACATGCACGTACACACAATCCCTCCCTCACCCACACACACGCACACACACGCGCGCATATGACGCGCACAGGTTACCCTAGCCAGCTCTTCTGGCGCTGTCATTCAGACATGGAGCAATGCCAGCGGCCTCTTGCAGGGCCAGTTGACCCCTAGCGCAACCATCAGCTCACCTGTGAGCGTTCAATTCCTGCTTTTGCAAGCCTCTTGGATTGGGTGACCAAGCAGAGGCTCGGTCAACTGCAGTCATCACTTGCAACTCGCCCACTTGAGCGAAACGGCCATGTCTTTCAAGGCCTGCACTCCTTTCCGCCCCCCCTCACCACTCCAGGGCACCTACTACCTGTCTATCAGGGGCGCCGGCCGGGGTGCGAATGCTACCACGGGCTTCACATCCTACGGGTCCACAGGGCAGTACAGGGTCACCATTACAGCACCAGCCACCACCAGTGGCGGCAATGGAACGAGCGTCGGGACCGGAAATGGCACAATTGGGGGTGGCAATGGAACCGTTGTTGGCGGCACCAACGCGACCAATGGGACGACTGGTAGCAGCAAAAACGGGACGGTCGGGGGCGTCCTAAACGGGACCATTGGTGGTATCATCAACGGGACAGTTGGTGGCAGCAAAAACGGGACAGTCAACGGGACGGTCGGTGGCGTTGCCAACGGGACGATCGGAGGAGGCGCAAATGGAACCACTGGGACTGGCGGCGGCGGAACAACAATTGGAGGCAGCGCTGGCAGCATCTCCAACACCACCGTCTCATGCAAGTCTCCTGGTGACGTCACGCTGCCCCAGACGTTCAACGGCTCGTGCAGCTCTGCCGTATTGGCCGTTTCAGACCTCTACACCACAGGGGGCCTGCCAGGCACAGACGTGTCCGTCACGCCCACCCTCCCAGCCGACGGCCTGTATGCACCAGGTGCGCGGGGTTATCGTGCCAGATGGGCATTGCAACCCGCGACATCAGCACTCCCGTATTGCCGTGAAGTGTGTTCCATGCGGCATGACGGGGCTGGCCGCCACCACGTCTCCTCGCAGATCCTGAGGATTCTAGTGAGTGCCTCCAGCGCGCAATGCTGCCGGGTGAAACCCTCCCTCTCTGCTGCCTCCGCCCCTGCGCGACTCCTCCCCTCCCCCCTGTTCCCCAACCCTAGGTAACCATAGCTACGCCGTCACCGCCAGCTCTGGGGCGACCTGCACCGTGTCATTCACAGTCACCCAGGGGCCCGGCTGCAGCAATGCCACTTCGGTTACCTGCACGGCCGCGCCCAAGGTCGTCACCCTGGCCACTGGCAGCTGCAACGGCGTCACCATCCCCCGGTGGCAGCTCTTCACCGGCGGCCGGAACGCTGTCGTTACGCCTGGGCTGCCCACGGACATGTACTTTACCCCAGGTGCGTGAGGGGGTGAAGCGTGCGTGTGTGCTTCGCTGCTGTATGTGCTGGCCCAGCTCAGCTGCACCTGCCTAACAGACGCACTCGCCACTGCCCTTCATCTTGAGGCAAGGGGATGTCAAACAATGATGGCATCGGACCCCATCAATTTCATGCAACCGCAGGGCGCATGACCAGGTTCAAGGTCACGGCGGCCGACCAAGCCTCGCGCTGCAACTTCAAGTGCGGTCCGGGTGCTGCTACTTTTGGGGCCTGGCCTAACCTGATGCCACATGCCTGGCCAACCCGGCTGAATAGCATGTGACGCCCTCATTTCAGTCTTGTCCTTTTGTAAGGTCCTCTTGACAAAGCCAACTCCGCCATGCGCACCCCACCCTGGACTCGGCGCCCGCAGGGTCCAAGTCATGCCCTGCACCCCGGTGTGCGCCTCCACGAGCCCGAACCTCACAACTGCCCCCGATGCGTGCACCTCCAGCGCCAGCGTCAACGCCTCTGCCCTCCTGGTGGCGTCCAGCCTTGGCAAGTCTGCCGACGTGACACTCTCGCCGGGCGGGGCCCTGCGGCAGGGGGTGCGCACGGTCAAGGTGACTGCCAAGTATGGCAAACTCAGCGTCAAGACCACCTGCACCGTCAACGTGATGGACCAGCAGGCACCCAAACTCACCCTGGCGCCGCCCTCCGGCAGCCTCTGTGCCTACCCCAAAAAGGGCTCCACCTCTGCTTGCTTCTCCATCCGGAAGCTCGCAGTCTTGGCGGACAACTGCCGTCCAAAGCCGACGCTGCTGCTCAGGAATTGCACGGTCACTGCCAACGGCGCCAGCACGGACTGTTTCCAGGACAGCTCCAAGCGCGTGTGCGTGAGATACAACAGCGGCACAACGCCCCTCACGGCGCAGGCGGTCTTCACTGCCAGGGACGCGTCGGGAAACGAATCCCCGGCGACGACGGTGACGATCACCGCGTACGGCGTCCAGCCCAACCCTGTGCCCCCAGGCTGCCAGCCAAATTAGTGGGCACCAAAGTGTCTCAACGCCTGCCTTCCTGAAGGGAGGCAGCCGATGTGATACAAAAACGGCGCGTCTGCGACGGCGCATTCCTCATCCCACGTTGCCAGCGCGCTGCCTGCGCCGGCTGCAGCCAGTGATCATGGGGACACTGCACCCCCTTTGCCGGAGTACTGCTGCAACAGAATCTAGGCTGTGCGGTGCCACGGCTGGAATCCCTGTTGTTCACCATAATTTGTAGCACTGTGGGACTGATGCCGGACACATGTTTGGGTGTCTCGCACAGCAATGGCGGAACCCCACACGCCATGCGCGTGTACGCACACATGTGCAGTGCCCTAGATGCACACGCATGCGCGCTTGCACTCACCCTATGCATTTGCCCCCACGTGGTTTGGCTGTTATTGGTCTGAGGTGCCCCCTGTTGGCACACGCAGAATGCACAGCATCGATTATGGGTTGGCGTCCTCCCAAGCATTATCAAATCGTATCAACACCGCGCTTGGTTGTACGTCATAACGCACGGTCTGGCAGTGCCTGCTGCCACTGCTGCCGGCCGTGCAAGGCGAGTTGCAGTTGGGTGTCGGGCAGATGTTCAAATTGCGGCTCAGCTGTTTGGTGGACCCAAAGAGCGCTCCTTTGTTTCAATCAACTGCATTTATCTTCCTGGTTGCTCCAGGCCTGCCTTTTTTTCATTTGGGAGCGCTCCCTCATCTCTCCATTGCCATCGTCGGCTCGCACAAATGCCTTGCGCTCGGCCAGCGGCATCATCCCGCACCTGGGCGTTCTGCGGACTGTCGGGCTCGGTGCATTGCAGCCAGGTTTGCTTCTTTCATCCCAGCATAAAGGGCGCTGACGGTCGCATGCTCCTTTTGCCGCCGCTCATCCCCTACATGCGACATAACCTCGCCGCTGCACGATCAGCGCCCGCTGGAACGCCGAGCCTACCCGCAAGCGCCACACAGTAGCAACATGCGACGGATACGCCCGCCTCGCGCTGTTTGCGGGGCGCATTATGAGAGGATCGCTGTGGCCGCATTTGTGATAAGTGCTCTTGCACGCTGCATGCCCTTGGCATGGCCTCGCTTTCCAGTGCAGTCATGTTTGACACAGATCAAGATCAGTGATGCGCGCAGCGCACGCTCACATCTTGTCGCTGTAAAAGCTCAGGCCTTGACTTGATGTTCTATGCATTTCTTGAGTGTTGTGAGTATGCTGCCTGCCGATCTAGCAGAGGGATGTACGAATCAACACAGCAACGGGCAGCAGGACCAATGAAGCAAATAACCAGCCACTACCTGCTCCGAACCTGACAGTCGCTCTCCTTGTTTGGACGACCAGTAGTATGTGTCTGTTCAAAGCCCTGATTATATCAACACGTTTTTCCGGCTTGTTCAGTTCCCTTCACGCACACTCCCAGCTCCAGCCACATCGCGAGTGAGACAGGCCACACGCGGTGCCCGTCCTCCACCGATGCCACGTCCAGCTCCAGATGTGTTTGCGAGCTTGATTCGACCCGTGCCTCCTGCACAACTACATTTTTGACTGTAACCCGACTCCGACGTCCGTGACAGTCTGGTCATCCCGGCCGCCGAGCTCATCACTTATCGACCCTTACAGCGTGACAACGTCAAAGAAATTGTTCACAGCATTATCCAAGGAGGTGGATGAGGCCCCTCCTTGCGGTCGTACTGTTTGCGGCGGCAGCGTCGCTTGCCGCTGCAGCCCTCCCTGCGACACCAGCGCGCGCGGCGCAGCTGGCAGCACTCGATACCGTGGCGCCCTCCCGCCTGGCGGATGTTGCGACTAGCCTTGGCAAGTCTAGCGAGCAGCTGCGGGAGCTGGTCTCGGGCGGCGCGTTTCGGCTGAACCAGCAGTCGCTCACGGCGCACTACGCATGTACCTTTGGCCGCGAGGCCGGCAGCGATGCCGCGCTGCTCGACACTGGAGACCCGCTTGCCGCCGACGCCATGGCGCTCACCGCGTCTCTGCAGTCGCTGCTTGAGCCGGGGCTGGGCGACCCGGACTCTAGCCAGGCATTCAAGCTCCACAGGTGGGCCAAGTGCAGGCGGCTCTCATGTGCTACCTGGACAGGGGATGGTTCGCATTTCGCTTTGGCAGGGCATAAATGAGCGTCTAGCAACAGTTGGGCCTGGGACGCTGCCCTGTGGCATCCTGAGCACCGCCCCCAAGTGCCCGCTGTCGACCCCACAATCGATCCCGCCGCGCAGCCGCCCGGGCGCCCCCCGCACCCTGTACCTGGACTTCACGGGGCACACCACCACCGGCACACAGTGGAACAGGCGAGAGGGCTGGGTTGATTTGTTGCCGGGGAGCGGGTGCCGCGCTCCGCGCCGTGCTGAGGCGGCTCGCCACCGCCCCAGTGGATTGGACCGCAAGGCCTGGTATGCGCTCCACCGTGTGTCAGCAGCCTGGGTGTGTGGCGCCGCCAGCAGCACCAGCAGCTCTCGGAGCTGGTGCAAGCTGTGGCGCAAGCTGCAATAAATGACTCCCACGCTGCAATAGATGACATCCAAGCAACTCTGTCTTCTTTGTGCGTGGTGCTCACCCACAGGGAGCCCTGCGCATTCGCAGACAAGCGCTTCTGCTTCAGCGCTGATTTGAACTACCCGACGTCGTTCGCCACGCCGCCCTTTGACCTGGATGGCAACACAGCCGTGTTCAGCACAGCAGAGCTGCAAGCTATTGTGAAGATCTGGGCGAATGTTGCTGAGGTGTGCTGGTGTGTGTGAACATGCTTGGTGTTGAGGGCACAAACGCATATGAATCCGAGGGTCACGTGCACGGGTCACGTGTGTGCCTGTGCGTGCGTGCGTGTGAGTGCGTGCGTGCGTGCGAGCTCACGTAAATGTGGACAAGGACAAGGGCATGCGTGCATGTTCCTCTTGTCCACAAGCTGTCCCTTGCTCACGTTGAGCCACGTAGAAGCAGGCATGTGAACATGTCAACATCCCCTCTACAAACATCTTTTGCACAGCCGCACACTGTGTGAGCGCCATACACACGCGTGTGCGCATGCGTGTGCGCACGTGCGCGTGCACACACACACACACACACACACACACACACACTTACAGGACTATTCGATGTTTGACATTGACATCACCACAGGTTTGATCAAAGTTCTTGAAGAAGTGCTGCAGCCATTGCTCCGGACCATTCTGGCAGCCATGGCTTGCAGCCTGCGGCCTGCGTTGCTTTGACTTGTTTGCTGCACACATCCATGGCAAATGTGCGGTAATTTGCAAGCTCGCTAGAGCTTCTCTGGCGTCCCACCGCCCCTGAGTGTCGGCCCATTGTTGGTCCTCAAATGCACCCTCACAGAGGAGCCCACCTTCTCCCTGGCCAATGGAGTTGGAATCCGTGTATGCATCGGCGGCAGCGATCTAGACTGTAAGCTGCAAAGGCTTGGAAACTCTGTGAGCTGGGTCCTGGCCAGCGCGTTTGCTGTTTTACACCCTGCCCTCCACGGAGACCCTGCTGCCAGCTGTTGACGCGCTCGATCATCCCCCAACACAACCTGGCAGGGTACACTTACAACACTGGTGGCAAAATGCAGGCTGGCGGCATCACTTATGTTGGAAGCTTTGGCCAGGGACGCCTTGGCGCTGGCTACCCCTCCAACGGCAATGAGGTGGCCCCCTCGTGAGTGTACTGGCTGCACTGCCAGATGTTGGCCACCAGTCTGGTCACTTGCAGCGCCTGAGCTTGTCAAGCTCACAACGTGTGTATGGGCCTGCTTCTGTGATGCTCCGCAGGTTTGTGTTCACCAAGCCCCTGTCACTCAACCTCAAGGCCATTTGGGAAGCTGTCAGGTAGCCGCAAGGCCTGCAGAAGCGTTCTCTGATCATGGGCCCTGCGCGAAAGCGTATTTGGGAGGAGGGCAACTGGGCAGTGGGATGTGCAGCCCCGCATGATTGGCATTTCCATGCAGGTGAATGCTTGAAAACCTTGTCTCAATCGCCTGGCTTGCCCCACCACCCCACGCAGCCACGAGGCAGGACATTCCTTAGGCCTGGAGTGAGTCAGGGTGCAATGAAACCAGGCAATTTGTTTCAGGGGCTGAAGACATGTGTGATGGAACGCTGGTGTACACTGCAGCTGCCCAGCACCGCAGCACGACACCACCTGTGGATTGCAGGCCCACGCACGCGCTGCTCTCGCTCGTGTCGCCGCACCCGCAGCCACCATGGGCGCAACGCATTCTCTGGCAACAACAATGTGCGTGAAGAGTACTACAGGTATGCGGGGTGATTGCAGGGCCATGACAGCCTGGCATTACAGCGCGTGCTGCAAAGACTGAAGCTGCACTCTGTTTACACTGTCGAGTATGGGCATGCTGTGAGGCACGACTTGGCCTAGTTTGCTTGTCGAGGGCCGCAAGGTGATGTCACCCGCCCCCTTCACTCCCTCAAAATACATCCACCCGGGCCCACTCTTGCCTACCCTCCCGTCCAACCAACTGTGCTGCACCCTATGCCAGCGGTCACAACAGTGGGTTCCAGGGGGCGGTGAAGGGCAAGGGCCTTGCTGCTTGGTGTATGCAGCTTCGGCATGCCGAAGGAAGGGCCGTGCTTGCTGCTTGCGTGCTTCATAATGGCATTGCTTTTCTCCTCGGACAACTGGCTTCTTGATGCAACGCGCTGCCCCTTTCACCTGCACCTCACCCTTGCCGGGCGTCCAGACTGGGCTCCCATCATGGGCGATGGCTACTCGGCGAACACGACGCAGTGGTGCAAGGGAGAGTGAGTGACACAGGGCGCAGCAGGGCAAATACGGGGCCTTGGGGTTGTAAAAGAAGCGCAACTTGGCTGCTGGGGGTTGGCAAGGAGTTTGTAGGATTCAAATTACCCAACACATCAGACGTGGCAACCGCAACGCTGTATCCTGTACCCCCTTTGGCCAGACTGATGGGCCTGGCATCACCTGCAGTATGGGTCGCGCCAGGTTGATGTTGGCCTGTTCCACTGCCAGCTCTTCGCAAACGTTTTGCTGGCAGTCGTATGTCCCATTTCGCCCATCACACACACTCTATGCCACCACCTGCGTGTACAGATACGCACAGGCATCAAACCCCAATCAAAATGACATCAGCAAGATCGCCAGCTTTGCCCCGCTGGTCTCAGACGATGTCGGCGATACGCCCGCGGCTGCCAAGGCACTGGTCAACACGTCTTCTGCAGCAGGCGCGTCGTTTGTGGGGATCATCAGTGGCGCGTCTGACGTCGACACGTTCAGCTTTGGCAGCGGTGTGGGCACTGCCAATGTGATGCTGACCCTGGCCAGCACGGCGGCTGACAACCGGTCTCCCAATGGAATTTGGGAACGCAGTGACCTTCAGGCTGAGGTGAGGGACGCGTCGTGTGCAAGCATACAGCTGTACATCCCCTTGTACCACATGTTTTGGCAGATGTCCGCAATCGTGCACACGTGCGCACACACACACGTACACACACACGCGCGCACGCACACACACACACACACGCGCGCGCGCGTGCGCGCACGCGCACATACACACACACACACACACACACACGCTACACACGCTTACACACACATACTTACACACACACACGCACGCACGCACGCCCACACACACACACACACACAAAGGTCACATTGCTAAACTCTGCGGGCGGCGTGGTCCAGACCTGGAGCAATGCAAACGGCCTCCTCAAGGGGCAGTTGTCCCCAAGCGCAACCATCTCAAACGACGTGAGCGTCAACAACATTGCATTTAAATTTTTGGATGGTCCCGACTGCAATGCTGCGCCTGCAAGTCCAGTCAGTGCGAACAGTTGCCGTTTGAAGTCTCGCTGATCGCAGCCCTCATCAACATGGCATGGCCCTTCCTGTTACCCTCTCCTCTTCCATATGTATCCCCCTGACCACTCCAGGGCACCTACTACCTGTCTATCAGGGGCGCCGGCCGGGGTGCGGACGCCACCACGGGCTTCACAGCCTACGGGTCCACAGGGCAGTACAGGGTCACCGTCACAGCACCGGCTAGCAACAGCAGCGGCGGCGGCGGCGGCAGCAGTGATGGCGGTGGCGGTGGTGGTGGCGGCGGCAACAGCGGCGGCGGCGGCGGCGGCGGCGGCGGAGGCGGCGGCGGCGGAGGCGGCAACAGCGGTGGGACATCCAACATCACGGTAGCGTGCAAGTCTCCAGGCAGCATCATTCTGCCGCAGTCGACGAGCGGGTCCTGTGATTCAGCCAGACTGTCCGCCTCGGATCTCTACACCACGACAGGCGTCCCGGGAAATGACGTCACCGTCACACCTGCCCTGCCCGCCAATGGGAGATATGTGCCGGGTGAGTGGGGACAGCTTGAGCACCCTGTCCTGGCACATGTCAGAGGACTGGGTCAGCCAATCCAACTACGCTCAACCCCATCTGCCCAGCACCTGCCTCATGGTGGCGGGCTTCTTCGCCGATGTCCCTGCCTCTTTCTCCGTGTCAGGGTCAATCATATGTCTCCTCGTGTCATCCAGCGGATGCAATTCATCACCCCCCCCGGCCCTGCACGCTCAAAATCCCAGGCTCGTACAGCTATGCTGTCACCGCAAGCTCTGGAGCGACCTGTACAGTCACATTCACAGTCGCTCAGGGCCCCGGCTGTAATAATGCGACGACAGTGACATGCACGGCTACGACCAAGGTCGTGACGCTGACTCAGGGCAGCTGTGACGGCGTCGTCATTCCCAGAGCTGACCTGTACAAGGGGGCTGCCTCTGCCTCTGTCACACCCGCACTACCCACCGACTTGCTCTTTACGCCAGGTGGGTGGCGTGTGACACGGATGCAAAATCAGGCCTGGCCATGCAGGCCAAAGTCCAAGGGAATCGGCGAGCGCGCGGGACCCTGCAGCGCCCGTCAGCTGGGTGTGAGCCCCCGCGGCCTCCGGTAGGCATGCTGCATCCTGCACACCCATTGCAGCATGTGCCCTAGGCATGCTTCCCTGCCCCCGGCAAACCGCAGGCCGCCTCATGACGTACAGTGTGGTGACAGCTGACAACAGGTCCCGCTGCAGCTTCAAGTGCGCAGCAGAGGTGGCGTTGTCTTGGCGCCTTCGACGCATGCTCGAACCTACTTTGCTGCATTAACACATCAAACATCCACACACATTCATACACGCACACATCCACATTCACGCGCACATGCACACACACTGCTTGCCCTCATCGTTGACCCGCCTCCGGCCCAAGCACTTAAACACTCAAGTTGTGCGCCCCTCTCATTTTCTCCTCTTCCTCTTGCTTGCCCAAGGCTTCAAGTGAAGCCCTGTACTCCCGTGTGCGCCACCCCGGCCCCATCTTTAGCAACCAGCGCTAAGATGTGCGCCTCCAGCGCCGGCGTCAACGCCTCAGCCCTCGTGGTTGCATCGAGCGTTGGAAAGGGGGCAAATGTGACCCTCTCGCCGGCGGGCGCTCTGCCAGCCGGGGTGCGCAAGGTCATTGCGACCGCCAAGTACGGCCTGGTCAGCGTCAGGACCATCTGCCTCGTCAACGTCACAGACCGCCAGGCGCCAAACGTGACCCAGGTGCCGGTCTCGGGCGCCGTCTGTGTCTACCCGAGCGGCCGGTCCCCCTCGGCTTGCTTCCTCATCCGGGACCTGGCCAAGGTCACGGACAACTGCAAGCCGGTGCCCTCGGTGCAGTTGAGGAGCTGCACGGTCACCGCCAACGGCGCCAGCACGGACTGCTTCCAGGACAGCCTCAACCGCGTGTGCGTCAAGTACAACAACGGGTCGTCCAACCCCCTCACGGCAACTGCGCTCTTCACTGCCACTGATGGGGCTGGCAATGTTGCGCCGGCAGCGGCGGTGAGGATCATCGCGTTTGGCACCAAACCTGCCCCCGTGCCTGCCGGATGCCGGGCCAAGTAGCGTCCGCCAATCAAAGCTGCGCTTGGCCGGCCAGGCACATGGCACATGGCAAGTGCACTGTTGCACATGACGCTGCCTGGCGTCGGCTTCTTCCGCCACGACATTGGCTGGCCCGCATATTTGCATTGAAGCGGCAACGTTGCACATTGCTCAAGCAGGGGCCTGCAACGGTCAGCCACAACCCCCACGCGTGCATTGGCTTGCTGTGGTGGGGCTTTGTCACACAACATTTTCGACCAATCCACTGCAACAGGCGCACGCGCTCACCCAAACGCCGCCGCCCGCCCACATGCGGTGACATGCACTCCAAACAGTCTCGAGGCCAATTCTGCTCTGTTCTATCTAGCCTGTCCACACGTGTGACGGGTGCCATACCTTGCTGCGCTCTTTGGCGCTCATTCACACCTTCACACCAAATCGTGACTTTCTCAGTGATCGCAGGCGCAGGGAGGCAAATTAATTCAGCTTCCTTATATTTGCATTTTGATTGGCATCTCATTTGTGATGCCATCCATAGTGAACTATTGCACATCATCCTCGGCGTCCTCTCACAAGGACAGCAGAGTGACACCATTTGTACACGAGCAGGACCTTTGTAGTTAGCTTTTGCGTGCAGCGTCATCCTCCAGAACATGAGGTCTGTTGTTGCAAGTGCATGCCTGCGTCACTCGCGTACCTTTGTGCCCAGTGTGTGCAATACTAAGTTAGGTTGGCGGCGCTGTGGCGCCCTGCCAGCTGGCCGGAGTCCTTTAATATAGTTTTCGCTGCTCTAGAGTGTATGTTTGGAGACTTGCACGCCGCTCACTCAGCCGCGAGATCTGCTGTTTCTTACCAAGGCACCGGCCAACTTTCGCATCAGAACAGCTGTGTTGCACTCCAGAAGTGCTTGATGTCGAACCCTCGAGTGAGTTGACCGGTTATTAGGTGCTGAGTAGCAAGGCATGTGAGATTTGCTCCTCTTGTAACCTGTTCTTGGATACAGTTGACCATGGCGCGCGAGCAATCCGGGGGCCATAGGTGCAGGGGATGACGGACGACTGCAGTGAGCACAACCGACCGTCACACAACGTCAAGACCACGCAGGGCGAGGCTACTGGTACGACCTGCAGTGCCAGCCCTCTCCAAGCTTCATCGACGCAAGGATGAAAATGTTTACGACACCCGACCACGACCATATTCTGCATGAGCACGATCGTCAGCGTATATTTGTACGTGCTACGTAGCTGGTAGATCGTCAGCGGTGTACTGGGCAGCGCATCAGCAATTTACAGCTTGATTATCGAGCATTAATACACACTTTTTTGCTTCAGCAGGCAGCAGGCAGCGTCTAGCCATGGTGCAGACTCGCAGGCGCATTGCAGTGCTTGCTGCTGGCGCTATGCTGCTCCTTGCGCTCGCTGCAGTCCCTTTGTCAACGGCCATGCCGCTCTCAGCACCGCTCAACATCAAGACTGAAATGGGCTGGGGCGATGCTGAGGTGCGCAGCGGCGCGATCGGTTGCCCGTGGGAGCCTGGGACCTCAGGCCGGCGCATCAACCACCTTGGGCGGTTGAAGTGCCGGCGGCGCAGCACCGCGAGACCTAAACCGGCGGTGGAGCTCTTTCGTGCACGAGGGCTACAGCCAGACATCTGTCCATTCTGCATGTGCTGCACGGCCCCCTTTGCGATCCAACCACCCCGCAGGAGGAGTGGCGCGGTGAGGTGATCCAGCTGTCATGGCGGCCGCGCGCCTTCCTTTTGAAAAAGTTCCTGACAGATGAGGAGTGCGAGCACATCAAAGCCAAGGTGCGTGCACACCACACAACCACGGCTTCGAATGCGTGCGCAGCAAGCCCCAGAGGGCCTGGCAGCGGCCCGCCATTGCGGGGGAACGCCCAGCGAGGGCCCTTGGAGTTGGGCGGCCCCCGCTGCTGCTGACGCGCCGCGCTCTCTCGCGACCGCGCGCCGCGTGGCCGCGCGGCCGCGCTCCCCAGGCCAGCGACAAGCTGGAGAAGAGCGGCGTCGTGGACAATGAGACGGGGGAGGAGAAGGACTCGGAGGTCCGCACGTCATCCGGAACCTTCTTTGACGTCGGAGCGGACGAGGTGCGGCGCGGGCGCGGCTCACGCGCAGGGGGCCTGAGCTGCGGGGCACATGCATGGGACGTGCACGCCGCGCCGGCGCGGGCTGCACAGCAGCGACGGCGGCAGCAAGCGCCGTTTCTCAGGAAGGCCCCGACTGCAGGGGGGCTGCTGGCCGACAATCGGCCGACCGAGCTTCCTGCGTAGCTTACTGCGAAGCGGTGTGTGATGTTGTTGGTTGCACAGCAAGGCCACTCCCTCCCCTCCCCCC